TCAATGAGTTCTAATGAATGAGCGAATCATTTCGAAAAGGGACATTAAGGAGACTATCGGTCTTTCCTGGCTTTCAGTTAAAGTCAAGCAGTAAGGAATTCATTCAATTCTCGTCTACGCTCCAAAGGGGTTTCATTTCCACGTATTTTTCATGGCCAAAAGGTAGGCGAGAAAACTGATTTCCCTACAGGGGAACCTGAATGAACCCTTGCTCGGGGATGAACAGAATGAGTTCATATATTCCGTACGCACCGACTACTAATATAGTCCAGGAGACAGAGTCCGTCTTTTCTCAGCAGACCTCCTCCGATGGCTGTATTTTTAAACCCGGCCTTCTCTTTGCCTACTTGGTGTCCAAACTTTGAAGGAGGAAAATCCCCGTGTTTTTTTTTTTTTTTTAGCTGTCTTTTTTTTTTCCCGTACAACAGATTTGTACATGACCTAGATATGTCTGGTAGTCTATGACCAGGATCTAGACAGAGCTCTAAAGAAATAGAACATACTATCCTGAATACATAATTTTGCGTTCGTGACAAGTTGAGCCGCGATCCTCTTGCGTACATTGATCGTGTGTTAACTAAAAGACAAATTTTTTTTTTTTACAAAAAAGAAGACAAGCAAGCGGTCAGCAAGTAAAACAACTCCAACATGCAATTTATTAATACGGGGACAAGGACAGAGACTGGAAGGTAGGTAAGGAGACTGAGACAGCAGGACCATGAGAACATAAAGAGCGGACTTGTATCTGTGCAGACAGAAAAAGATGGTTCAGACAAGATGGATGGAACGGTCACATGACACGGTAAGTGGTTAAGGGCTTTTCACTCTAAGGGTGTCCTCATGCATTTTCCAGCACAAAATGGAGAAAATCCATTTTCATCCGAGATCGTTGGCCAATCACGTCATGATACATCAACATTCTTTCGACACTGAACTCAATGAATGGTGGGTCTTTCACCAGGATGGATTGACCCTTCTTGACCAAAATGATCAACGTAGAGCAAAATTGCCATTGGATTGTCTATTATATCTTACAATTGTTCCATTGTGTATATGGTCAGCATAAAGATCACCCACGCCATTCCATCGAATTAGTACGCAGTGGCCTGCTCCGAATAGTAATATCAGAAAAAAAGACCAAATAGCTAACAATGTACCCACCTCCCTCCACCAAAATTGTACTCTCACAGAAGATTCTTTTTGCTTAGGTGTCCAACATGTACCGTGACATACTAAAGAAGACCATGGGCCGCAGGGCAGTATTCCAACATGATAACGACCAGAAAACACACCTCCAAGACCACCAATGCCTTGCCAAAGAAGCTGAGGGTAAAGGTGATGGACTGGCCAAGCATGTCTCCAGACCTGAAGCCTACTGAGCATCTGTGGGGCCTCCGTGTGCCTACAGTCAAGCATGGTGGTGGGAGTGTCATGGTCTGGGGCTGGATGAGTGCTGCCGGCACTGGGGAGCTACAGTTCAGTGAGAGAACCATGAATGCCAACATGTACTGTGACATACTGAAGCAGAGCATGATCCCCTCCCTTCAGAGACTGGGCCGCAGGGCAGTATTCCAACATGATAACGACCCCAAACACACCTCCAAGACCACCACTGCCTTGCTAAAAAAGCTGAGGGTAAAGGTGATGGATTGGCCAAGCATGTCTCCAGACCTGAACCCTACTGAGCATCTGTGGGGCCTCCGTGTGTGTGCCTACAGTCAAGCATGGTGCTGGGGGGAGTGTCATGGTCTGGGGCTGCATGAGCGCTGCCGGCACTGGGGAGCTACAGTTCATTGAGGGAACCATGAATTCCAACATGTACTGTGACATACTGAAGCAGAGCATGATCCCCTCCCTTTGGAGACTGGGCCTCAGGGCAGTATTCCAACATGATAACGACCCCAAACACACCTCCAAGACCACCACTGCCTTGCTAAAGAAGCTGAGGGTAAAGGTGATGGACTGGCCAAGGATGTCTCCAGACCTGAACCCTATTGAGCATCTGTGGGGCATCCTCAAACGAAAGGTGGAGGAGCGCAAGGTCTCTAACACCCACCAGCTCCGTGATGACGTCATGGAGTGTAAGAGGACTCCAGTGGCAACCTGTGAAGCTCTGGTGAATTCCATGCCGAAGAGGGTTAAGGAAGTGCTGGAAAATAATGGCGGCCACACAAAATATTGACACTTTGGGCCCAATTTGGACCTTGTCACTTAGGGGTGGAGTCACTTTTGTTGCCAGCGGTTTAGACATTAATGGTGGTGTGTCAAGGTATTTTGAGGGAACAGCAAATTTACATGTTATACAAGCTGTACACTGACTACGTCACATTGTAGCAAAGTGTCATTTCTTCAGTGTTGTCACATGAAAAGAGAGAATCAAATATTTACAAAAATGTGAGGGATGGACTCACTTCTGTGAGATACTGTATATATATATATACAGAATGGGACCTAGTACAGACCTTGGTGGCACCCCACTGGTGACCGGTCACTGTTCCGAAATAACCTCATTTACAACCCACGCCCTATATCTATCCTTCAGCCAAACTTTTTTTCCACAGGAACACCCAAGGGTTGAATCCACACCTGAGATGATCATGTGGAACTGTATGAAACACTGTCCGAAATCACAGCATGCTATGTCCACGGCACCACCCTGCTGCAGAGACAATTAATGAAAGCCCTTCAAAATTGCAATACAACATAGCACAACATGGGCTTGTTGGGTAGGTGCAGCAGCAGTAAACACACGGAGGTTCGAGGTTGCAGTAACCGATATACTGAAGAACTGGCAAACAGTAGAAGAGCCTGGCAAGGGAGCTCACTTGATTGGTAACCTACAATCAATGCAACGGAGAGAGCCTGTGGTAGTAGACCCAAATTGAAGATAGTTCTTGTCAAGGAGGGTGGAATACGGCTTGGCCACACCGACCCAAAAGGGAGCTTGCACCAATGCAGATGTAGGCCCTGAGCTTTCCAAACTTCTCTGGAACCTCTCCCTGCTGCTAGTGCTGTCCCTGAAAGATGGGTATGCTCTGAGAGATGAAATAGTAAAAAAAAATATTAGTTGCAGAGAGATGAAAATACTTCCTTCTGATTGGACACACTGTAGGCTACATCTGCATGTAAAAATGTATTTGTAGTCTATGTGAATCCCAGAGAAACGCAGATCCTACACTAGCCACTTCACAAATGCATTCCAAAAACTGGGGACAGGGCCTTAAAATGACTCTGCATGACCCAAGATGGCCACCAGGGTCACCTGGATGCAGCGTAGCCAACAGAAATGCTGCTCCAGGGAACCGAGGAAACCATAGGGAAACGTTTCCCTTTACTTCCCCTCCAGCTGCAGTACCGCTCCTGATGAGCGCAACCTACAGGGAAGAAAATAGCCTGCAGCTGTCCACATGCTGACAACACAGGATGATCCAAGCGTGTTATTAGACACATTCAGGTGCTGCCAAAGAGAGAGTTCCCCCTAGGCCAGGGGTGGGTAACTGTGGCCCTCCAGCTGTTGGTGAACTACAAGTCCCATCATGCCTCTGCTTTTGGGAATCATGCTTGTAACTGTCAGTTTTGCAATGCCTCATGGGACTTGTAGTTCTACAACAGCTGGAGGGCCACAGTTGCCCACCCCTGCCCTAGGCAATCAGTAGCTGATTTCTGCCAAAACCCAAACCAACAGTCCTCCACATGTAGCAAGTAAAGGCAAGACACAATGACCTGGACTCCGGCACTCCTACAAATTACAGGAAGGGTCTGCATTCTCACAATTGGAGTTTGTTTCTTAAAGTGACCCTTTTCAAAGTTCCTTAGGGACGGAGTTGCTCTTTCTAAGAAGGGATTCAGTAAAGGACAAAGAAGAGGTCCATCGGACCATACACTGACAGCAGTAGGGTAGAATTTGTACTGCTGCCCACAACAAACAACTGGGTTTTGGTCTTTATACTTTAACCCATACTGTGTCCATCAGGCACGATGCCTCTTGGCAGATTCAGCTGCAGGACACCAAAGATTTTTATAGCTATATCTGTAAAGGTGGCCTTCTAACAACAATTGTAAGGGGCATACTTCCCACAGACCACCACTGTAAGGGACATTCTTCCCACTGACCCCCAATGGGACATTCTTCCCACTGACCCCCAATGTAAGGGACATTCTTCCCACTGACCCCCAATGTAAGGGACAAGGTAAACATTCTTCCCACTGACCCCCAATGTAAGGGGCATTCTTCCCACTGACCACCAATGTAAGGGGCATTGACCACCTTAAGGGGCATTCTTCCCCACTGACTACCAATGTAAGGGGCATTCTCCCCACTGGCCACCAATGTAAGGGGCATTCTTCTCACTGACCACCACTCTAAGGGACATTCTTCTCACTGACCACCAATGTAAGGAGCATTCTTCCCACTGACCCCCAATGTAAGGAACATTCTTCCCACTGACCACCACTGTAAGGGGCATTCTTCCCACTGACCACCAATGTAAGGGGCATTCTTCCCACTGACCCCCAATGTAAGGGAAATTCTTCCCACTGACCACCAATGTAAGGAGCATTCTTCCCACTGGCCACCAATGTAAGGGGCATTCTTCCCACTGACCCCCAATGTAAGGAGCATTCTTCCCACTGGCCACCAATGTAAGGGGCATTCATCCCGCTGACCCCCAATGTAAGGGACATTCTTCCCACCACTGACCCCCCAATGTAAGGGAAATTCTTCCCACTGACCACCAATGTAAGGGACATTCTTCCCACTGACCACCAATGTAAGGGGCATTCTTCCCACCGGCCACCAATGTAAGGGGCATTCTTCCCACTGACCCCCAATGTAAGGGACATTCTTCCCACTGACCACCAATGTAAGGGGCATTCTTATCACTGACCCCCAATGTAAGGAACATTCTTCCACTGACCTCCAATGTAAGGGACATTCTTCCCACTGACCTCCAATGTAAGGGGCATTCTTCCCACTGCCACCAATGTAAGGGACATTCTTCCCACTGACCCCCAATGTAAGGGACATTCTTCCCACTGATCACCAATGTAAGGGGCATTCTTATCACTGACCTCCAATGTAAGGGAACATTCTTCCCACTGATCACCAATGTAAGGAGACATTCTTCCCACTGATCACCAATGTAAGGGACATTCTTCCCACTGACCTCCAATGTAAGGGGCATTCTTCCCACTGATCACCAATGTAAGGGACATTCTTCCCACTGATCACCAATGTAAGGGACATTCTTCCCACTGGCCACCAATGTAAGGGGCATTCTTCCCACTGACCCCCAATGTAAGGAGCATTCTTCCCACTGGTCACCAATGTAAGGGGCATTCATCCCGCTGACCCCCAATGTAAGGGACATTCTTCCCACTGACCCCCCCAATGTAAGGGAAATTCTTCCCACTGACCACCAATGTAAGGGACATTCTTCCCACTGACCACCAATGTAAGGGGCATTCTTCCCACCGGCCACCAATGTAAGGGGCATTCTTCCCACTGACCCCCAATGTAAGGGACATTCTTCCCACTGACCACCAATGTAAGGGGCATTCTTATCACTGACCCCAATGTAAGGAACATTCTTCCCACTGACCTCCAATGTAAGGGACATTCTTCCCACTGACCACCAATGTAAGGGGCATTCTTCCCACTGACCACCAATGTAAGGGGCATTCTTATCACTGACCCCCAATGTAAGGAACATTCTTCCCACTGACCTCCAATGTAAGGGGCATTCTTCCCACTGGCCACCAATGTAAGGGGCATTCTTATCACTGACCCCCAATGTAAGGAACATTCTTCCCACTGACCTCCAATGTAAGGGGCATTCTTCCCACTGGCCACCAATGTAACGGCCATTCTTCCCACTGACCACCAATGTAAGGGACATTCTTCCCACTGACCTCCAATGTAAGGGGCATTCTTCCCACTGGCCACCAATGTAAGGGACATTCTTCCCACTGACCCCCAATGTAAGGGACATTCTTCCCACTGATCACCAATGTAAGGGGCATTCTTATCACTGACCCCCAATGTAAGGAGCATTCTTCCCACTGATCACCAATGTAAGGGACATTCTTCCCACTGACCTCCAATGTAAGGGGCATTCTTCCCACTGATCACTCCAATGTAAGGGACATTCTTCCCACTGATCACCAATGTAAGGGACATTCTTCCCACTGATCACCAATGTAAGGGACATTCTTCCCACTGATCCCCAATGTAAGGGACATTCTTCCCACTGACCCCCAATGTAAGGGACATTCCTTCCCACTGACCCCCAATGTAAGGAACATTCTTCCCACTGATCCCAATGTAAGGGACATTCTTCCCACTGACCACCAATGTAAGGGACATTCTTCCCACTGATCACCAATGTAAGGGGCATTCTTCCCACTGACACCAATGTAAGGGGCATTCTTCCCACTGACCACCAATGGAAGGGACATTCTTCCCACTGACCCCCAATGTAAGGGGCATTCTTCCCACTGGCCACCAATGTAAGGGCATTCTTCCAACTGATCACCAGTGTAAATAGCATTCTCACTAACACTGATGTAAGGGGCAATCTTCCCACTGACCTCCAATGAATTTGTTTATTACAAGGGTTCCCAGGGACCAGGAAATTGTTTTAAGGGTTCCTCTGGGGGTGAAAAGATCGAGAAAATCTGCTCCACATTATATTTGCAGTCTATGACTGAACCAGGACACGAGAGAAGTAAAGGACCAGAGGGGACGTTTCCTGTACCTAACACCCAATGACATCATCATTCCATTTCCAGATATCTCAGGAGACATTTTATGATGTTTTGGTCTACAGGAACATCTTAATGTTCTCCCAAAGTGGGATCCTCTGTGCTTGATGGAAAACAAAGCGGAGGTTGGCAAAAACATTAAAACTCAAGTCCTACCACGTGAAGCCGCCTAGATGTCTCTAATTAGCTAATTACAGTGGATGGCGTTTGGGCTAATTGCATCCCAATCATCAACCGAAAAAGCTTTAGCATCCGCTCTTCGTGTTTCACAAGGTTAAAGCTTTTATTGGTTCTGAATTACGAGCCGCCGTTGCAGGAAGGGGGTAGGGGTGGGGCTGGGGAACCATAGGAAGTAGTGCAAGAAATAACACGTCAATGAGAATTTTACAATCACAATTTTCATCACGGGGACTGCACCTCCCAATAAATGCAATTTTTGTAAACGGCCTAGAGCAATACCAGGACAACAAAGGCAAGGCATGCAGGGTCATGGTTTCAGAGGGATTTGCACAGTTTTGCACGTGTTTTTCCATACTGGTCTTTCTTAGGAACAATGTCATGATTGTCTCCTGGAAGTTGTTTTATGTTCTGAAGGTTTACAGTACATAGTTGTGTTGGCCTCCAGAAGAAAGTAGGAGACCCTGTAAAAACCACTACCGGTATACAAGACACAGTAGGTTTGTGCCTACAGGCACCTCTATGGGTTGGGAGCCAGGGGCGTATTTACCAGAAGGCAAACAAGGTATTTGCCTTGGGCGGCACTTTTCAGGGGGGGCAGCGGTGCCCCCCTGGAAAAAGGGATGAAAAAAGGGACACGCACGGCATGGGGACCAGGTGGGATCCGAGAGAGGCTGCGGGCTGCTTGACAGTATATGCAGAGCCCCACTCTCATTCTCATGGATGTCCGGAGCTGTGAAGGTGAGTGTCTTTCTCTCTCTCGCCAGGTGGGGAAGGCGGTGTATGGGGGGCAATGATAGTGGAAGGCTGTCTGGGGGGGGGCAGGGGTGTTGTTGGTCAATGTCCCAGGCTCTCTCCTCAGCGGGGGTGGAGGGTGGTGTTGGTCAGTGTCAGGCTCTCTCCACGGGGGGTGGCCGATTTTCTTGTTGCCTAAGGCAGCACAAAACCTACATTTTTGGGAGCCTGATGTGCCACAAGACTGCGGAGATGTAGACCCTGGCTGTACAAGGAGAGCCCCAAAAAACATCATCAACGTATCTCAGCCATGCCTTGTACACCCAGGACTTCTTCCACCGCTGAGGCTTCTGTGTTGTGTGAAATGGCCGGATCCCATTCTGTGTCTGAGACGTGTGTAATAGAGCTGGACCAAAAGAAGCCAGATTTGGTACTGGAGGATGTACAGTGGGGTAAGTACTCCTTCAAAGGGATTAATGCATAATGAAGGTGCACCATAGATGGACCTAGTTCTGGTCCCGGGCTGTTGCCTCTGACCCACAAAGAAAACTCTCAGCAGATGACAAACTCTGGGGGGTGGCTACTGAGGAGTGCTCAGTGCAAAAGTCCATATTACTTCAAGGTCTTTTTCAAATGTTTATTGATTAAACGCATCAGGTAGAGCCAACACGTTTTGGGTTGAAATGCCTCCCCCCTTCTTCAAATCTGATCACAGGGGAAGCTGCAGTTTAATGGTTAAAACTTAATTCACTTTTCTTTATTGCTGTCTTTGTCTACAGTGGCAGTTCTCACTTTTGACAGCCCTGAAGACTGGAGGGAGGAGTTTCAACCCGAAACGCATAGCTCTACCTGATGCCTTTAACCAACAAACATTTTAAACAGACCCTCGAGCGATGTGAACTTTTGCACTGAGCGCTCCCACCCCAGAGTTTGTCATCCTGTGCCTTAGGACTGTTGACGGAGATTCCTGAATAAATAAAACCTGTAAACACTGTTTTCTTTCTTTTTTAACCCCTCCATCTCCCGAGGATTCCCCCCCCCTTCCTGACCAGACCATATAGCTATATGTTACTATACAACTTCATGTTACTATATTAAGGGCTGCTGTTAGAAACCGCAGGGCCCCATACAGTCAACCTAACAGGGCCCCCCTCCAAAAAAAACCCAGAGTTTACTATGCTTCATTTACGAATGAACACAGTGAGTGATCGGTGCCGATCACTCATTGTGTTCATTCAGGAAAGAAAGGAGCTGGTGAATGTGACATATTTGAACCCATCCCCAACCCTCTATTCTGAAGGATCCTATTGTGTGCTTGCAGCTGCCGGTGGGAAGGAGAGGATGGAAGTCGGAAGTACTGCAAGGGGTGGGGGCACAAGGGGGGGGGGGGGGGATGTGCATCAGAGGAAAACATATGATGAAAAGGGAGGGTGATGGGTGCAGCAAGGGCTGAAGCAATAACTGAAACTGATCCCCTGTATGTATCTCTGCAATAACTGTGAGGGATAAGAGAAGAATCCAGCTTTCAGCTGCTGCAGGAAGAACCATACAGGGGATCGGTTCCAGTAATTCGTGCTGATCACCCTCCCTGCCCAGTTATCCCAGCTGCCTGGGCCCCCCTGCTGGCCTGGGCCCCGTACAGGAGGACTGGTGGTGCCCCCTTATCCACGGCCCTATGTACACTACTATACTATACTATGTTACTATAATATCTTACATATATATTACTATACTACACTATCTTCCTATACTATATGTTACTATATACTATGTTACTATACTATATATATCTATACTATATGTTACTATATATTACTACTATACTACACTATCTTCCTATACTATATGTTACTATACTATACTATATTATATCGCTATGTTACAATATGTTACTATACTACACTATACACTATACTATGTTGTTTCTATACTGTCTTACAATATGTTACTATACTACATTACAATACTATATGTTACTATATACAATATGTTACTATATACTTACAATGTTACTATACTACTACATGTTACTACTATACTATAGTTACTATCAGGGGCGGACTGACAACTCATGGGGCCCCTGGGCAATAGGGGATTATGGGGCCCCCGTGTCCTCGGCCACACCCAAAAAAGCCTATGACAAAGCCAATGAAAGGTACCAGGGGCATCTCATGGGGCCCCCTACTGACCCTGGGCCCTCGGGTGGTGGTGCCTGAATGGCTAAATGGTCAGTCCGCCCCGGTTACTATACTACACTATACTATGTTTCTATACTATCTTCCAATATATTACTATACAACATTACTATACTACAGGATATGTCACTCGGTTATATGTTACTATACAACACTATGTTACTATACTTCATTACAATACAGAGGCGGACTGACCATTTGGAAACTTGGGCACTGCCCGAGGGCCCGGAGTCAGTAGGGGGCCCCATGAGATGCCCCTGGTACCTTTTTCATAGGCTTTTTTTGAGTTTGGCCAAGGACACAGGGGCCCCATGATCCCATATTGCCCAGGGGCCCCATGAGTTGTCAGTCCGCCCCTGTTACAATACTATATGTTACTATACTATACTATGTTTCTATACTGTCTTACAATATGTTACTATACTACATTACTATAATATATGTTACTATACTATACTATACTGTCTTACAATATGTTACTATACTACATTACTATAATATATGTTACTATACTATACTATATACTATCTTACAATATGTTACTATACTACACTACACTATACTATATGTTACTATACTTCATTACAATACTATATGTTACTATAGTTTGATGTACTATACTATGTTTCTATACTATACTATACTACATTACACTATACTATGTTTTCTATACTGTCTTACAAAATGTTACTATACTACATTACTATAATATATCTTACTATACTATACTATCTTACAATATGTTACTATACTATACTACACTATACTATATGTTACTATACTTCATTACAATACTATATGTTACTATAGTTTGATGTACTATACTATGTTTCTATACTATACTATACTACATTACACTATACTATGTTTCTATACTGTCTTACAATATGTTACTATACTACATTACAATACTATATGTTACTATACTATACTATCTTACAATGTTACTATACTACATTATTATATGTTACTATATTATACTACACTATACTATATTTCTATACCATACTACATTACACTATGCTATGTTTCTATACTGTCTTACAATATATTACTATACTACAGTATATGTCCCTCGGTTACATGTTACTATACAACGCTCTGTTACTATAATACACTATACAGTACAAAGTTATAAATGAGATCCTTCTCTGGTCCGCAGACCCACACAATACCCTCAGCAGGTTTCCTAGGGATGACTGGTTGTCGGTGTGTCAGATACTAACACGGTACAGATTGTTTCCATGACAAGAATGCAGAATTGTAGGAAAACACCGGAAAGCTGGGAGGTATAATGAGATGTGATCATCGAGAACCGAATAGCATTACCGGGACAATCAAGTATGGAAAGACGAATATAAAACATAGAAA